CGTAAAGGTTTGCTGCGGGGCGGGATTGGGCCTTCATTTGATAAGTCCGCAAAATTGCGGGCCTCGCGGGACAGGCTCAAAAAGGATGGGCTGAATGCGGGACGGGTTCAAAATGGGACAGGCCGAATGTGGGATAGGTTAACCCACGGGATTTTGAAGACCTGTAACCATAAGCCCCTATTTTTGTTTTGTTTTCAGTACTATAAATTGCCTTATTACTATGTGGAATTTTCTTGTTTAAGTTGATGAGTTTTGTTTTCAGTATTGCCAAGTGGTGTTCTAAAAAAATTTTGTTACAATGATGTTGTTAAAGAGTTATTGCTTCTTGAAGAGCTACTGTTTGTTCTTTAAACGGCTTGAAATGAGAGTTTGGGTTACTGCAGAATCCTGTCTTTGCACTCTAAGTTCAACAGCTTGGTTTAAAGAGAAGAAGAAACCATTAGTATTAAGTTATTGTTGATATGAAGAGATATTTCTTTACAAAAAATCAAACAAGGAATATTCTTGAAAGAGTTAAATTTTACTGTCCAAATGACTTTCACTTACTTCAAGACCATTAAACCAGCGAGTGATCACATTGGATGTTGTTGCGATCGATGTTGTTCAGCTCTCTTCAACTTCTTTATTCAGCTCTTCTACTTTAACATTCATCAAGAAAGCTGAAGGAGACGTCCCGTGGGACGGCCCGCAAAGGCTTATAAATTATGCGGTACGGGATTGGGTAGCCATTCGGAAGACCGCAGCCCGCGCGGGATAGGCCCGCCGTGACCCACTCGACGATGAGTCCGCTGCGGTACGGGACGGAACGGAACGGGAAAGCCCAATTGCCATCTCTAGCCAAAACTAAATTAATCATGTATACATGATGGAAAACCTTGCTGAAATTTGCGGAAAACAGAACACGGGAGAAACCAACTTTTCTAAACTGCATGCAGAAAACGCTATAACATCACCTCATTATACTATCCCCAACAGAACCATGAAACAAGTCGCATATGAACTTGCTCACATTTTACATTTTTCCAATGAAATCTCCATATCAAACTTGAAATATTTAGTTTGCTTTTGTTGCTTTTCTTCCTTCCTATCATAAGCATTTGAGCTGCCATTCACTTCCTTTCTTGTATCATGAACCTGAATTCAGGAGTAGCAAACAAATACAGAGACAATCTTTTTCTACCAAACGGCATAGCCTCTGAAACTTTGAGTCTTCAGCCCTGTCTTGCCACATGAACCGCAGAAGTTTTGAGGTCCTCTCCATTTGTTTCGTACTTCTACATATTTACTCTTCGCTCACTTTCTCATGCAAATGACTATGGATAGAATATCTATTATATCAAAGAAAGCATCACTCCCTCTAAGGCTGTCCACCTCAGCGCCAGCGTGGAAATGCCATGTCAGCAACCGTTTTGGGCCAAAACCGATTGGGCTTCATCTTATTGTTGTCTCTCATTTTTGTATCGTGATTGGGCTTCAACTTTATTTGGCCCGATAGATTTAAGACTAAACCTAATGTTTATGCAGGAAAGAGCGGAGCCGTCTATTCTCTTCCTCCAAGAGTGACTCTTTCGCTTCATGGTTTCGGCGATTCTTGCCTGGCTTAACAACAGCGGCAGTGAAGATGGTTTTCTTGCTTGGCTCAAGTCGAGGATTGGATCATGGTGAACCAGAGTGGTTCGGGTTGGACGACGGGTTCGGCTTGAAACTCTGCTGAGGCGATGCTGACAATAGTGACGTCAAAGTATTCAGGTGACCTACTTTGGACATTACCCTTGATCCTTCTGATGTATCTACAGGTAAAAAATATATTTGTAGCATTTACAGGTTTTATTACATTAAATGAAAAATATAGTTGAATGAGACCATTGCTTGAGCACTATAGTAAAACAGGTTAAAGATGACATCTCACCTCCGGAAGCGTCCGTCTTGGAATGAGAATTTCGCATCAATGCTCCTGGTGGTTAAATAATACAGGTTTGTTGAGGAGGGTCAGCGAGCAATCAAACACATCACATATTGAAGCAGAGAGTAATGAGAATGGTGGAGGGTTTGTTAAGCTTACGGGTCGCTACAATGATAAATTTTCTCTTCATGTGTTTTCCCTTGAAAATTACAGGAAAAGACATTTTCAGCTGTTAGTGACTAAACACTATTCAATGAATTACAGCAGGATTCATAGCGATGTATGCTACATAAGCTATCAGAGAGGGCGATTGCTACCTTACTCTTACTCATGAGTCAGCATTTGTTCCCGAAGGAAAAGTTAGACTCTTGGAGTTCATTGAGAAACTGATCAAGTTGAATGGTCACATGGTGATTGTTCTTACGGAAGAAGCAGGGTAAGAGTTGATGTGCAAAAGCATGGAATCTAATAGACGCCTCTGACAACAAGCTCCTTAAAGATGTCGCTTCTGGCTACCACAACGCCTCAAGGTAAAAAAATAGATTCAAACTTTCTTATATGAAATTCCGGATAACTTACCTTAAAACTCATCATAGTTTTCTTCTTCCCTGGTGATAGGATCATTTAAAGAAAAGATTAGCATGGTGATGACCCTTTCTCCCCACTTTTCAACTATTTGGATATTTCCAACTCATTTATTCATTTCTTGCTTTTACATACATGATTCTTTCTCAGGGCGTTGTTCATGGTGCAATGGCTGGTTACACTAGCTATATCAGTAGTCTTATCAATGGAAGACAAACATACATTTCTTACATCGCAAGTTACTGACACATATCAGATGCGTTTTTGCTTTCAATCCCGGAAGGATCCGAGTTGTGATTATGTATGTTACAATGGAATAATCTGATTCAATATAACAGAGTTGTGGTATTGGAATCGTCCTGACCTCATCTTTTTTTTTGTTGCAGACGATAACATAAAAACAGAACAGTGTGGTGATTAAGGATAGAATGTGGACAAGGCTAATGTCTTCAACGAAATTACAGACCAGTTTCTTAGGCCCTAAGGATATAATCAAGGAGAAGAAAGAGGTACCGGAAAAGCCACTTCTTAAAGTGAAAACTGTGATGGATTTTTTGGATTTCCTCCGGTTACTAGAGAGATCACTAAGTGAAGGTCAGAAAAGCATGTATTTCCAGAACATATATATTCAGAGTTTCCTTGAAACGATAACATTTTGGCGAATGTGAAATAATTGTATGTTCTAGCGATTTCGCATATTTGTATCATTTTATGCATGATGAGTTATAACACTTTAGTTATATTAGTTTAGTTTGTGATCCAGGCGAATCTGAAATGTGTAGATCGTAGAGAAAAGCTTCACATTCTATGCTACGAAGAAGTGAAGAAGTATGAACAACATTAATGATTATTTTGTTAACGAGTTTAACACTAAGAATATGCATTGTTGTCAAGGGGAAAATAAAGAATCAGTGTAATATAAAAGGAGCTTCATTGTGTACGGTGTGTTGTGTTTTGATTCTGTAAATAACCCAAATTTTATGGTTATCAAATAAAAATATATTATCATTATCAACTGAATGATAAAGAAAAATAATAAAGTTTAATTATTTTTCAACGATCTCAATATCAATGATTAAGTTTATTTTTAAGATGTCATAAAAAAGTGGTATATCAACATAGACAACAAATATTTATACTCTGATGAAGAACCACCCATTATCATTTACAATACAATAACGGGTAGAATTAGAACTTTGAATAACAAAGGAGAGAAATTTCAGACAGTTTCACCAACTTTAGCACAACAAGAGAAGGTCGTTAAATATGGAAATGAAAACAGTGTAAACAATGGTTTAAAAGAACCTGCCAAGCAGAAAACCCAAAACTACAAAAATATATTCAAATAACTACAAAACTAAATACAAAACAAAATAGAGATAAAAAAAGGGGACATAAAACAACTGTTAGATGCAAATTTGTTGGAACTTTAAACCAAATTCTTTTTAGTTGGAACCGAAAGGGCATAACATTACAACAACGACGATTCTTAACATTTATAAATCTTATATACCCAAGAATACTTAAAAACCATCAATGTTATTATACACTCCACTTACAAATCCTAATATGAAACACATACAATGAAAATATACAATTATATAATAATATACATCATATTCTGCGCGTAGCGCGGACCGGCCCTAGTACATAATAAATAAGTGTTTCATCTTATATTTACTTTTGGCTCATATTCTCATGCAGATGACTCTATGGATAGAGTTCACATAATAATAAATAAGTGTTTGGGCTGGGACTTATTATTTGGGATCCGGATTCAATCCAAGCTCCGGATCCGTTCCGAAAATAAAATATCCGGAGCACTTAGATCCGAATTTAGATAATAAAATTCCAGATCCGTGCAACAAATCCGAATATTACAATTTTTAGGTTTGGATATCCGGATCCGGATCCGTGTTTCTAAAATAATTTAATTTTTAATTTTATTAATAATTATATTTGATATTTAGTATCTATATATAAAAATTAGTCTTATAATATTATATCTTAATTTTCATAATATTATATATCATTAATATATTTATAAATTGTGTAGTTATATTTAATTTATATATTATTTTTAGATATTTTGTATTTTAATTTTTTTATTATTATTTTTACGGATCTGAATCCAAATCCGGATATGTACAGATATTATAATTTCTAGACGGATATCCGAACTCCGAACTCCAAATATCTGAAAGACACAAATCCAAATACTAAAATTACAGATCCAACGAATCTGGATCCGGATACTCTAAATTTTCCGGATATCCGGATCTATCATACCCCTACGTCTATGTGATCCAAAAGAAGCAAGCTAGATCATAAATCGTAAATCGCCGTTACAAGCTGAGTTCTGATATTTGCGTAAAGTAACTAGTTTCAAATAAAACAAAGTATATATAGTAAACAAACACTTGTTCCTTAAAACAAGGAAAATCTCCCTTATCAGGGTTTAAGTAGGCAAAATTGGGAAGGTTCATGTTCTTATGACCTCAAAAACATAAAATCAGGCAACTGATGAGTCTTCCAGACATTTAGGGCACTTGCAGGTGAAACCGTAATCTGCAAGTAATGCTTGTCTCTCTTTGTACGGAAGCTCCTCGTCTATATATGAAATTGTCACCTGTTTTCAGTTGAAAACTCAAATAAATAAGCTACTATTTATACAAAACCATTCGATGACAATGGCAGAGAGAAGAGAAGATGAATGTACCTCTTCGTTCTTGTTGATGCGTCTTAATGCAATAATAACTGCTTGTCCGTCTCTGTCCTGTAAAACCAACCACAAGAGAAACAGATCAACATGAAGTAGAGACATTGCAACTGCAAATTCTTTGAGGTGTGTTAAACCTAAAGAGGACAAAAATGTAAGAAAGTCACCTCTTCTCTTTTGAAGGCTTTTGCATTGGGGCAACATGAATGGTTCATACAGCTCTGGAGAGGGAAGAAAGCCGTTCCTGACACAATACGGATGATGTAATAATGTCAAAACGGTCGTTACATAACTCCTTTTAAGACGACAATGTTCACTTTATTTCTAACCTTGGCAACAGTCTGAATACTCATCACCAAGAGCATCAAGAAACGGTCTTGTGATTTCCTCAGCTTCGTCCTTTTCAGCGTCTGGAAGATCATCTATGTACAAGAAATAGTCCTCTACTGGTGATGCTACCACCAAGTCTCTGCCAAAGATGTAAACAGATCGTTATCATCTCTAAGTTATATATACTGTACTGGTAAGAAAGTCGAAAGAAAATTGATGACTCTTACAGGTTATTCAGCTCAAACATGCCGATGATATTCCCATATATTTCAAGCGAGAAAACTATCATGTGTCAAGGAATGACTCTCTGCAAGTAAATTATAATACAAGAAAACGATGGTATGGATTATATATCAAACTGATGATGGCGGATACGGGCTTCACATTCTTTGTCAAATATAGCGGTCTTCAGGAGCTCCAAAGACTGGAGATAAATAGAAGGATATAATTCAGTTTGCAAAACAGTTAGGATTCGAAGCTAATGAAACTGAGATTGTGATCTCTACATAAAACATAGCAAGTAAACTCAACCTTCAAACCAATGTAATAATACAAATGAAACACATACCGTATGTGCAAGATCCTTTATCTGCGTTCTGAAGGCACCTTCATCAGACGGATCAACATCATCTGGCAACGCGATACAGTCCCACCATCTACCAAAAAAGGAATAAGAGTTGTACATAAATTTCTATTCGATGTAGACATATCACAAGAGCAGTTTGTTCTTCTATGAAGATAAGTTACTCTAACGTGATTTTGATCACATTCAGAAACTTAGTAAAAGCAAGCAATTCATGTTTTTCTAATCGTCAAGACTATTGAATGTCAACATCAACCTATGTATACCTTCTTTTGTATCCAGCCGATACAGGTTTCCATGCGTCCAAGAGTAGTGATTGCTTTGACACACTCTGCTTCGCTTGTTTGTTCACATGTTCAGCTTTAAGTTTCCTGTACCTTAGAATGGTGAAGGCAATCGTCTAGCCATGATAATCCATCATTCAGAGCATGTTAGTCTCTCTTTTTAATATACTAGAGAAAAGAAAATGTACCAAACTCTATAATAAAGAAAGCTAAGACATGTTAAGAGATTCATGGCACATTATCCAAGATATTCTAAAAGAAGACATAACAGGTGACATGTATACCTTTGCAGCGAGGAGAAAGATATCATTTGTCTCTGAAAAATAAGAAACGAAAGATATAAGTAAAGAGAGTCAAGTACTACATATAACCAGCATAGACTTGAGATCTTTACCATTAGAATGTTTAATAAACTCTCCAAGTGCTTCTCTAGATACTGATGCAGACCTCTCACCAGTGCAGAGTAAAGAATGAGAACTTTCCCAATCTGCCTCTGCGCATGATCCACTATGTCATATCGAAACAATACATTAGCAAACAGCAGACATAATCTAACACATGTAAAAAGAATAACAAAGACATCATCAAATCTGAATTACCTGCAGTAGAAAGCCTCCTGACATCCTCCGGGGCACGAAAGAAGAGAAGGCAAAGGAAACTTATCAGTATGCGGCAAGGCCATTTCACCGTTCATCAGAGAACTAACAACTCCTTGTGGAAGGGAATGATGATTCGAACTGCTGCTTGCTGCACCACATTCATTGTAATTGACGCGTTCATCTTCCTCGCTTTCAGATGAATCATTACCACAACAACCAGAGAGACCCATATTCTTAAAATACAGTTTCCTCCCAATTTGTTTCTCTATTGACCCGATGAACCGGAAACAAAAACTGCAAACCAAACAGTCCACCTGGAGATGGAAAGTGATTCAGACAAGTGAAGTGAATCAATAAAGAAGAAAAAGGAAAAAGTTGAAGTCACCTTGTTAGATGAATGTTGGATACCGACAAGAATCTCATCTTTCAGAATGAGTTCATCTTCCTGAAACTCTGAGATTGCATAGACACCTATACTACCAAAGGAAGATAACAGACTTTATTACTACAAGGAAAAGAAAGGTTGTAGCTTTTTTGAGTATCAGGAGAAAAAGGAACAAGGTTTTGGGAGGGACCTTTTCCGAAGGTGGCGTCGTGTTTTACTTGGATGCCATTGCATCTTCTACTTCTTATGAGCTGATTGAAATACTCCTGGAAAATAGATTAAATAGGACAAAGAAATCAGATTTGAGGTCAGTCGCTATTAAGCGTGGTGGTCTTGAGAAGCAAAAAAAAGAAAAGAATTTGCCTGAAGTTGGAGACTTGGAAGCGGAGCAAGAAGACTGGCGACTTCAGCGGTGGTATTGTCGTTCATATCGCGAAGAGAAGCCATTGGAAGTGACGGAGGGAGATTGTGCTTTGCTTTACTTCTCCACTCGACGGCGCCTCTGATGTCTTCTTCCAAAACAACCCAGGGGGTTAACTAAATAAATGGGTTCTTTTTTCTGGTCAACAAATAAATATTATAATTTTTTAACTATGAAAAACAAGTAATATTTCCCATCAAAAATTTTAAAATATTGAATGTAAATTTTGTTAAACAACTGTTGGTTCGCTACTTTCGTAGAATTGTGTGATTCATTTTCAACATTACGGAGATTACACAACTCCAGCTTCGGTTTATCAGTCTTTGGCAAGATCCCGCAACCATATTGGTGCAAAACTGCAAACTTCACCGAAACACGTATCTACGAAGGTTTATAACTTTATAATACAAAGATCTTACTGATAAGTAAACCGGATAATGTTAAGCCTGCCTTGTCCTCGGAGTAAGAAGAGATGCAGACAAGAACAAGGGACTCTTTCCTCAATACGTGTCTGCTAAGTTGATAATACAGATATTACAAACCTCGGCACTTACACCAAAGAACTCTCTCAGTGTACTCTTTAAGTATCAAACTTCATTTAAATTTCAAGCCAAAATACAAAAAAAAAAAAGAAGAAGAAATTTTCAACTTCAGTCCAAGAGAAACGAGACAATTTACGCGTCTGGTGCTTGCTTCTGTTAGAACAGTGAGTCTGTGTGTTTTGTTGCATATCTTTCACCTCTTTTCTTTTTTTTTTGGTTGGCATCAAGCACGTCCAAAGAACTGTTCTATTGACTGCGACGTGAACACGTTGGGAGCCGTTCTCTCTGGTTTCTCCCCAGAGACGTGAAGCTGATATTTTATGAACCTCTATAATAAAATAAACAAAGCGAGAGGGAGAGTGAGATATCAATTTAAGTAAAATGTGTATAAGAATGTAACTGAATAAACAAGGAAAGAACTTTACAGCTAACTGTGTGCTGATTTCCGGGTTTGTGTCGATATGCCAGTCAGGTTCTAGTTGTCTAACAAACGAAGTTCTTCCCATCTCTGTACTACAAAACAGGACCTGCAAATTTTTCATGTCACAATACTGAGAAAGTATTCACAATTTCAAAAAAGATACCAATTCTTCTTGCTTGCTTTGATAAGATTTGCTGCAAAATTTTCGGAGAATTATAAGCTTGACTGAGTACCTTATCTTTGACCAAACCACCAGATGTGAAAACGCCTGCAGTCTCTAAAGCCTCTAGTACTTTGGCCTGCATATTCGTGCTTAAAATGTGAGTTTCAGAACCACCCAAATAAGCCAACGACAGAATAAATTACATGAATGCACACACGTCTGGAGCATTTAGTTTCACCAACTAACTTGGCCTCTTCTTCCAATAATGTAAATACATGTGCTTAAGAACCCTTGTTATAAAACATTATCAGTGTCTAGAAAAATATCTAGGCAATGAATCCCGTGCTCCAAGCTAATCATGATTAATGAGTAATAGCCACAACTAATTTGATGTGCCATTTCAGATCCAAGTACAGAGACGAATGACAAGAAAAGAACATTGAATGGGAAAGAAGTTGCTGCTCACTTCGCTTTCGTCGTCAAGAACTCTTTCCATGAGATACAAATCAGAATACTTTGTAATCTCTAGGAGAACTTCCAGGACTGATGACCTCACGGTTGCTTGTTTCTGCATTAAAAAAAAATTGCTCGAGTCAGGTACATACAGACGCATAAAAAAGCAAAAATGTAAAATCATAAGGAAAATAACACTACTTGGAGTTCTTCTGGACTTGATTCCTCAAGAATAACACCAAGAAGACGGCATGTTACCTACAAATGCATATTAAACAAGAGTGTGAAGCTCAAACACAATAATCAAACCCTGGCACAATGCTTTCATTTACGGCTTCAGCTCGAACTAAAATAAAACCGTCGATAACTAAATATAATCAACGTTAAATGTAACCATCTAAGATAAATTCATAACATAATCAAATAATGAAATGCATTTTACCTTCCTGCCTTCACTAAGCTTCTGCCTAACTATCTGCCCCAGTGTAGGCTACAAGAAAAAAAAGAAGCTCATTTATACCACAAGAAACTCAATACTGCTTAAATGAAAAAAAAAAAAAAAAAAAAGAAAGTTACTTTGACAGGCTGAAAGAAGTNAAACTCAATACTGCTTAAATGAAAAAAAAAAAAAAAAAAAAGAAAGTTACTTTGACAGGCTGAAAGAAGTGGTCAACGACATCTTGCACTCCATTATCCTCACGAGACGCCGAAACATCATTAGATTGAGAGGTCTCAGGTGATTGCATCCTGCGTTTTGGCTGCCTTCTTGGAGGTTCTCCTGTTGTTCTAATCGCCCTCCATGTGAATATCACAGCAATTGCAAGCCCCGCAATAGCACCAACAGATCTTGAATCCTAATTACAACACACAAACAATAGCTAAAACGAATCAATAACTACATCACAGCTTGATTTGAGCTCAATCAATCACTAATAATCTCTGAATTCAAATTAAACCGGCCGGAGCAGGAACTCAAACCGGAATTAGACTCGAATCACAGAGATTTCAGATCCGATTACAGAGAGATAGAGAGAGAGAAACCAGATTGCGAATAGATGTAGAGAAGAGAGTGGACATCTTGAAAGTGACGTAAGCGCTTAATCGTTTGATTAATCGAACGATCTCTTCCGTAGGCCAAGAAGACGATTCCGACATTGTTTCTTCGCTTTTTTTCCTCTTCCAAACCAAAATTCGAAAACGTCTTCGTTTCTCAGATTCTCTTAAAAAGTTAAAACCTTTCGGGCACTATTCTCGAGACGATGACTTTAGAGACAGAGAGAGAGAGACACAACGATGAACTGTACTTTTCCCGTAGAACTAATAACAACTTGGGGAAATTCCACCCAATCAAACTGACACGTGTCTATTCTCATGCGTGGTAACTAGCTATGTGCGTTTGGGGACAGTCGGATTCTAAAAAAGTTGACAAACATATTCAAAATATAAAAATTATTCACAAATCTAACAAAAAAATTAAACTACATAAACTAACTAAAATTTACTCAAAACACTAAGTAAAATAAATTATAAAAATATTCTAAAACATCTAAATTACTTTTATAAATAGAAAATATTAATATATTTCACTAATCTCGGATATAATCGGATCTAATTTTGGTGAGGCTTACCAGCAATCAGGAGCGGAGGCAGAGAGTGGCATGTGGGGTCACTTGACCCCAGTACAATTGGGGAAAAAAAATTTTAGTGTATATTTTTTCAAGTATTATTGTAGTATTTAGTTAAAATTTGATATTTGACCCCACTAATTTATGTAAAATTTTTTATATGATTCCATTAGTTTGTAAAAAAATAATTTGTTATCATAATATGTATATATATCTAATTCAAATATGAAATTTATATATTATGATCCCGGTCAAAAATATTTTTGGCTCCGCCACTGCAAGTGATAAGCATGTGAGAGAATACGGTTTTAAGCCGTTGGGGTGTGATGGATGTAGGAATTCATACCGATTTATAACGATTTATAAATCAATCTATGAATTTAATTTGCCTAGATCTCATGCAAATACTGAATTAAATGTAGATCTTAGGGTTTCGAATATACCTGATTATTTTGCAGCGGAAAGATAAATAAACCAAGTCGAGATTTCTGTAGCACTCCAAATGTTATGCCTCTACCGGTATCCACACGCACACAAACTGGATCGATACGGGATGCTAGTGCCGTCAAGATCAAATCTCAAAACCTTGACAAACTCCTTTGTCTTTCTCTTATTATTGTTAGGGTTTTAGTTTGGTGGCTTAATAATTATATATGCATACACACGACACATGCAAGCCCTAATAATCATCATTATGGGTAATGGGCTTTTAGCAAATCACGTGGTGGATTCTAAATCCATTAAGGTGAGCACATATAATTTTCATTTATCATATAAATATAAAACACCAAAACCCCAACTTTA